TTTGCGCCTTTCCTGGAACTCACTTGGTAGCCCAGGCTGGCCTCGAACTCACAGAGATCCGCCTGCCTCTGCCTCCCAAGTGCTGGGATTAAAGGCGTGAGCCACCACCGCCCAGCTCATTATCTTCTTTTTTAAGACTTAAGCATGTGCAATTTCAGTATATGTGGGGATCTTAGAACCAATCCCCCAAAGTGTTATTAAGCAGCACTGTTTACCATGAGAGAGAAGCCACGAGGCACAACAAAATCCACTGTAAGAGTTTATTAAGGGAAGGGAACAGAAGCGGAATACATAGGCCTATATAATGATCGTGCAGGACGAGAGAGGAGGGAGAATAGGTGGAACCCGCTTTTATAGTCACGCATGCACTGCACGCAGGCATCGCACAGCACACGTGTGGTCATGTAGCTGAGGGAGTGGCTAGGATTTCTAACACAAAGATCCTGAGGGACAGCTCTATTATGTGCTTTTTTGGGCCAGGGTACATTATGATAAAGACAACAATGAAACCTAACATGACCCAACCTACAAAACCCTTCCAGTTTAGTTCCTCCAATTAAATTTAGGGCCAATTTAGTTTTGTCTTCTTTGGCACACATCAACTTTCCCATTTTCACTTCACAACTCATTAGGGCACAATTCCACGGACTCATGGTTCCACCCACCCTGATCCCCGACTTCCTGCCATTCTACTTGCTTGAAAGTTTCTAAACAGTCTTCCTTCTACCTAATCTGCTTCCTACTCCTTAAGACAGGAGCCATCTTCTTCAGCAAGGGCTTGGGTAGCTGGGCTGGCCTTGAACGCTTGGTGATCGATCCTTTTGGCTTTGGGGTGGGATTACAGGAGGCTGCAGGACCATCTAGCTCCTTCACCTCTTTTACAGGCTAACCCCCAGGGGCCTCAGGGCCCAGGCAGGGAGGGCACTCCTCCTCCCTAGTCCCCTGACCACACCGTTGCTCCTTTCTGCGACTTTTTGTGACTATCACAAGAGTGCGGCACATGCTGGCGGGCGACCTCTGCAACGAGGCCTCCTAACACATCTCTCTTTCTTTTTTAGCTTTTGAAAAGTCCCAGCCTGTGCGGCTTCGGGGACTCCCGACCAGCCTCAGGAGGCCCGCAGCAGGCGCTCCTTCCGGGTCGGCTGCCTCGGCGGCCCGCGGCCGGTTTCCGAGGGGAATTTTCCTGGGCGCCGTCACCCCCCGCCCCAGGCTTTCGGGCCACCGCGCGGCGCGGCGTCTGCGCAGGCGCCGCCGGCGCGCGGGGCATCACGGGCCGCCGGGACGCAGAAGATGGCGGACGCGGCCGTGGGGAAAGACAAGTGCGGGGACCAGCGGCTCGTGTCGCTGCCCCTGTCCCGCATCCGCGTCATCATGAAGAGCTCCCCCGAGGTGTCCAGCATCAACCAGGAGGCGCTGGTGCTCACGGCCAAGGCCACGGTGAGCGGCCGGCGGCGGGGCGGCGCGAGGGGCGGGTGCGGGGCGCTAACCGCCCCTCGGGCTCCGCACACGCCCGGCCTGGCGGCTGCCCTGTGGGGGGCCGCGCGCCTCAGCCTCCTCGGCCTGCGCCTGCGCGCTCCGCACGTTTCCCCCCCCCCCCCCGCCGTCCTTTCCTCCCACCCCACCCCCCATTGTGGTCTCAGCCACGCCCACGCCGCTTGTCCTTTGGGCCGCTTCCGCTCCGAGGGCCCGCCTGGTTCCCAGCGTCCCTCGCGCCCCGCCCACCGCGTCATTCCCGCCCTGCCTCGCGCGCGCGCTTCTCGGCGTCCAGGGTGCGGCTGCGCGAAGGAGGCGTGGGCGGCCGCGGGGAGCGCGTCGTTCCGACTGAAGGGTGCCGTCGCTGACCTCCCGCGGAGTGACGCGGGGCGGTTCTCGAAGCTTCCCGGGTATCCTGCCGGGCTGTCGAGGCCATCTCCGGCCCTCAGGGCCTCGGCAGGTTGTCAGGATCTTTGTAGACAACAGTTGGTCCCAAGTGAAAGACTCCAGAAACAAGTTATAACCGCACAGCCCCCTTCCCAGCACAGATGGCTTTGTATGTCTATTCTGATTTATATTTCGGGAGAGATCTCAAGTGTGTTTCCCTGTCCCGGAACTCTGTAGACCGGGAGTACCTTAACTCGAAAGAGATCCACCGGCCTCAGCCTCCCCAGGTGCTGGGATTAGAGGCGGGCACCCACCAAGCCCTTCCTGCTCGATTGGTTTTGGCCACATTTGGTTCTACAGCGGTGCTATCTCAGCCCTCTGAGTGCGGGGATTAGAAATTCTTAACCACCGCTCCAGGTTTAAAGCTTGGTCTTGATAACGGTGGTCCAGGGAACATTCCTGTTAGGAGACCAGGTCATGATAACCTACTGGTAGATCGTTTTTCAGCTGCTTCTTCAGTGCGTAGTATTTTTTACAGTATTTTGAACTAAGGCCAAGGAAGATGCAAAATCTTGTGACTTTGCAAAAGAGCCAACATTAAGTAGAGCCTGACAAAATACAGTGGTTCCCAGTGTGCTTGGACTGGTCCAGGACCACCAAATACCGGAGTCTTAGGGTGACAAGCCCCTTTTAAACAGTGGTATACTATTTTCAAGCAGTCCGCACACATCTTACATTTCTAAATCATCTCAAAATCATTGTGAACTACATGTTTCTGTGTGGTCCCGGGACTCAGGGTTTCTGTTCAGATTCATTCTAGCCCTAAGGACCTAAACGATGCAAACACTTCTCTCATCACTTACTAGCTGAACTAATACTGGACCTTGGGAAAGGCTCAGTTTACCTTATTTCTGAGCCTTAGGATCTTGTCAGTCCACCACCCCCAACCCCAGAAGATACTTTGGCAAAGTGAGATGTCACTTTTCAGCTTGAGGTGGTTGGTTTTTACTATAGTCGTGAGTGAACAACCTTCGACAAGGGATTCAAGTAGACTGAAAATATGCATCCGAGATCTGGATAGGTGGCAGCTCACATCAGTAATCCAGGCACTTGGGAGACCCAGGCAGGAGCATCTCCAGGAATCCAAGGCTAGTCTGAATTGCAGAGTGCGACCTAGTCTCAATAAACTGTAAGCTAAATTAAGTCCTTGGCAGGCCAGATAGAACTTTTGAATGGGTTTTTGCTCCATTTATTGTAGAGCTGGTGACAGTCCACCCCACCCTATCACCGTTTTCAGATAGTGCACCACTGCACTCCCCTGAAACCAGAGTCATTATTTACAATCACTTGTAAATACTTTCCATGTTACACACTGAAGCTCAGCTAGAAAATGCCTGCTGCCTCCTGCTCTACACAGGTTGCTTCCTTTCTAACCTCATGTTTCTCTCTCCTGTGAACTGATTTCCTGTCATTTAATTTGAGGAACCAAGGTAATCAGAAGTATTAATGGAATTTTAAGCTTGTAAAGTCTGTGGTGAGTTTTCCAAGTTGACCTTTCATTTGATGTGTTGCTGTTGGTTTAGGAACTCTTTGTTCAGTATCTGGCCACCTGTTCCTACAGACACGGCAGCGGTAAGGCCAAGAAAGCACTGACCTACAGTGACTTAGCCAGTGCTGCCGAGGACTCGGAGACCCTTCAGTTCCTGGCAGGTACTTAGTCTTTGGGACACCCTGGTTAAGAAAAACTTGTAGTGAGCTTTCTGTCCCTTTATTGTTCTGTGTGATGCCTCAGTTTACCCTGCCCGGGCACAGGGAGGCTTTTCTAGCCTTCTCTATTTGAGCCACCAAGAATTGTAGAAGTTGATAATATATACAAGACGCTTGGCTGGCTGGGCACTCACTCAGAGGTGTCTACTTGTCCTGCCCACCCCGCACCCCAACAGAGCAACTGGTACATGCAGCCATGGATCAGACCCTGGCTAGAAAGAGCTTCCGTCAAGCCCAGGGGGCCAGCCCAATTTCCTCAGCTAGCTTGGGTTGTTCACAAAATCAGGTCAGAGAACCATGTTCACGGGCTGTGGGATGTGAACAGTCTGTAAGCGTGCACCAGGAAACAATCCCAGTTTCTGTGATTCTTCACCCAGAAGTATACCTGGGCTTCATGTCCTTCAGTAGCAATTCTAGGCTTCAAGCTGGAACTAGTACATCTTGAAACTTGCATTGTTGTAGTCACAGTTCACCATAAGCAATGACTGACATGAAAGTTTCCTGTTTTTTAAAGATATATTACCAAAGAAGATTTTGGCTAGTAAGTACCTGAAAATGCTCAAAGAGAAGAGGGAGGAAGAGGAGGAAGAGGACGACGATGAGGAAAGTGACATCATCGGCGAAGTCCTGGCTTAGCCAGCAGCAGTCAGTGCCTTCAGTGAGCCGTGAGCCTTCCGCGACAGCCTCACAGCCGTCAGTGCTGCAGTGCCGCTGGCTCCGGCTTGCAGCTCACTGCATCCCTCCTGCAGTGGCTAGGACTGGGCAGCCTCCCCCCAACCCAGGCCGGGAGAGCTCTGGGCAGGTGGCACTGCTGTGCCTTTGGGTACAGCAGCACATACCTCTGAGCTTCATGTTGAACTTGCAGGAAGACCTGGAAAGCTCCATGTCAGCTGTCTAGTCACAGGAACTTCTTGTTTCCACAAATGGCTACATGTGTAGCTCATGTTCATGTGCTGCCTTTGAATTTTTGTATTTTTTAACAAATGGACTATGCATTTTTATTGTACAGAATTTGCTTTTCCTTTTCCATTAAAGGTCTGTATGTATTTCACAGTAATATGATTTATTGAAGAGGGTTTAGGTTCTACACTTTTTCCAATAATTTACTAATAATTTGTGAAATTTCAGAGGTAGCACTTCTGTCTGGAGATGTGAGCCAGGGTGCATGCTCTTGGCACCAATACAAACAGCAGAAACATGTAGGTAGCTGCCCCATTTCCAGAGGAGAGCCCCAGCTCACCAGTCACATGAGTTGAAACACTGTGTTTTAAGCAAGCTGGACACTGGGCATAGTTCTCATTTTTCTGTTATCATTTATATCCAGTGAAACCATCTTGTGGTTTATAAAGCTTGACAAAAAACAGTTTTATTTTTGTTTGATAGTCTTGCTGTACGTAGCCAAGGCTGGCCTGGTGCTTGTAACCCTGCCTCAGCCTCCCAAATACCAGGGATGATAAGGGCACACCAATCCTGCTCACTATTAATTTGTAGTTACACATCAACACAAAAACAAAAAACCACCCCACACACCCATGCCTCCTGTAGTTAATCTGTCCCCTACATGCTAATGGCCACTGTTACCTTCCTCTTCCCCCTCCCAGGTCCCACTATGTAGCCCTAGCTGGCCTCAAACTCTTGTGTAGACCAGCTGAGCTAGCCCTGAATTCAGAGGTCTTCCCACCTCTGCCTCTTGTGCTGGGAATAAAGACAGTAAGATCCTCTCGGCCTACTTTGCCTGCCACATCTGTTTTTAAAATTGATTTAAAATAGGCCACTTCAAAATCCATTTTTTGGTGTACAGATTGTCACATGCAATCATGTGCCCATTATTAAGAGCAGTTCTAGCACCCTCTGAAAAATCTCTTGCCAGCATCTCCATCTCCATGTTACCCTGGCAACCACTGAGCTGCCCACTGTCTGTTGAAAACGAGACTGGACGAACAAAGCAGAGGACCAGGAGCCATTTGCCTGTTGCTGCAGTCCTAGGGGTTCCAGAACTTGCTCCGCCATGACAAAGTTCAGTTCATTCTAGGGACTTTGAGTTGCCTGAGCTTTCTCAGACAACCCCCTTCTCCCAGCACCACCTGCACTTCACAGAGACACACGGGTCAAAAGAGGCCTCCAGGGACTTGAGAACACCACCATGTTCACACCATTCAGGGCAACAGAGCTAGCTTCAAGCAGGCCAAAAAATCGGGACTCGGTCCTCACACTGTCTGGAGCTCAGGGCTTCACTCATGATGGGCTCAACTGAATGAATGGCTTCTCACATTTCTCTCTATGTGGGGACACCAGCTCCTCACACACAACACTGTGCTCCTGGCTCTGGTACTCCACCCCAGATCCTTGGGTGGTGTGGAGTGCCGCTGAGCCAGTCCATCCTTTGGGCACAGCCCCGGGACTGTAGAACAGGACCCAGACCCCTAGGAAAGGTGCACTCTGCCAGGGACACTGGACTCTGCCAGTGCATTTGACAATGATCTCAAGGGAGACAGTAACCAGAGACACCTTTGGAATAGGCAGCTGTAAATATGAGGAATTTTATTTTATTTTTTTGCTGACATACTATGCGGCAAAACAAATTGACACCATACAAAATAACTTTATAAAATATCATTCACATCATATTTTATCAGATTTACAGCATTCTGTGCATGTTAGGGGGCTACATAAGGAGGTGAAAAAACACTATACCAAACTTTTAATATTAGTTTATACACACAGTAAGAACAACATAAGTAGCTGTTAGGTTTCCCATGAATTTATTGCAAAAATAGTGCAAACTATTTAACCTAGTAAGCCGTGAAAACAAACTCGAAAGGACCCAGCTAAGCTTAAACACGACAAGAGATGCGCGGCGTCTCAGCGTTCCGCTTCCTTCACCAGCTGTCTTGTCCATGCAGACCACCCGACCCGGGCACGGTGGGTGAGAGCTGAGAAGGAAAGACACGAAGGCAGCCGCTCCAAGGCCAGGCTGCCCAGCGGCTGCACGCCGGCCACGCCTTTACGGTCATGCTACTGACTCAGTGGACATGAGGTCTGTGTGTAAAAGTTAAGATGCCACAGCTTTGCACTGGAGGTCCCCACCCTGGGGTGACGTGGAGGAGGAAATCAAGGAAGCAGCATGAACACAAAGGATCTGAGCGGCACGGCCTGCTGAGAAGCGTAGTACCCTTTTCCTCAGGTGTGCTTGGGAAAGATTCCTACTGTGGGGTGACCTTTAGAACCACATACTGCAGGGAGAAAAAAGAAGGATACTAACGGTTTAGGGTTCCTTTCGACAGTCTACTGGGGTCCAAAAAAATATAATATCTTAACAAAATAAAGTAAAATATAATGCTACATAGAAAAGCTTAAAAAAAAAAAAAAACCCCGAAAACCAAAACAAAAGAACCAAAATGCAGCACACGCAGGTCTTGGACTGAGGTACCTATGTAAATTTCATCACCTGCCCAAAGGACTCGTCAAGGTTAAAACAAATGCTTCCGGCAAGCCAATTGTAGGGCATTGAGTACAGAGAAAGTGCAACAGCTCTGAGCTTCATATCCATACGCAGCATACTAAAGGGGGATTAATTCTATAAAATACAGCTTAAGTATCAACCTGATGGAAGCTTAAAAACAAAAGAAACCCCACACATGTCTAACTAGAATCATCTTTTTCTTTCCTTTTTTGAGATCCTGCAAGGCGGGGGGTGGGGGTGGGGAGCTCCCAAATCACCTTTCGGAGTCTTGCCACCAAGTACAGTTGGTTCTCTTCTAAAATCCAGAGATCTCTTTAAAAGAGTGAGACTAGACACTACAGGAAAGCTCCCTAACTTTTATTTCTTATTGGTATAAAATCAAATTCATTAAGACTCCAAAATATTGTGTTACCTCCAAAGAACTGTTAAAAAAGATTGCCATAGTAGGAAAAGTCTAGAATTGTAAACAGCCAAATATAAAAGTGTGGAAAGTCATCGATCTCCGATCTTATTTTCTTACCCATCAAAAAGTGTTCCTGACTTCAGAAACCACAGGCTGCCGCAGAATGTACATCTTCCCCACCTCCAGCCTTGGCCTCCAGACGGCCGTGAGCTTGCCTTGCCCCTCCTCCGCCCATGGTGTTAGCACTTTCACCATGCAAACCAGGAGATGGAATTGACAACTGGCCATTTGCTGTTTATGAAAGAAAGTCTTATACAAAACATGCCGGAGGGAGAGGGATACGAACAGCTAAAAAAGCAGACACACGTACTTGGGGTATCTTTTTTTTGGGGGGGAGTGCCTCTTCAATGGCACAGAAATGAAGGGATAGCTATGAACACATGCATAGGAGAGCTGGGGTATGTTATGTGTACAATGTTATGTGTAAAATTTGCTTTTGGACACATTTTCCCAAGTGGGGGCTGGGATCCCAATAACGACAGCAGTCGGATGGGATACTTGCATGGTCAGTCGGGCTCCCCCACTTGCAAGAGAAAATGACTATTCTGAATTTCAAAAATGCATTAGGGTTAACATAAAAGGCACAAAATAAATTAAAGAAACCATTAAATAAACGGAAGTGATGATTTCAAGTTTCATGTGGAGTTAGTTACGTCCCACCCGTTTGGTTACTTTCTCCAATTTAATTTGACAGACTTAGTAAATAGCACCCAACTGTTTAACTGAGGTAGATCCACATTGTAAAGAAAGCTGGGTCCCCTCTATCTTATCTCAAGATCGAAGATGCTTTTACAGAAATAAAAACCTGTTGTATTCTATGCAGAAGCAACGACAGGTGGCAGTACCTGCAGAGAGCTTAGCCTATGAGCAGGTTGGTGAAACCAACGCCTCGATCATCTTCCCAGCAGCCAAGGCTCCTCTCCGACCAGAGGAGAGAAATCAGACGTCTGAAGATGTCCCTGCAAAGGTCTCTAGATAGACTGCCACAGAAATGCACATGATCTGTTTTCATCAAGCCACGCAGGAGAGCACAAGTGAGGAGGAGAAGTGTAACCCTGGCAACGAAAGGCCCTTTTTAACTCCAGAGGGAACATGTGCTGAGTTACGATTGAGCATCTTGATTTGGACAGTTGAAACTCACGCTGCCTATTTTATTCATTATTTTTATTTTTTTGCATACTCTGAAATGCACAAATTCACTATCTGATTAAGGCTTAATTTAAAGTGACATCACTACTGGTATCAGGCAAGGCCTGGGCGTCCTCACAATCCACAGACTGGCATCAAACCGAAGACAATGACATGAAGCCTCAGAATTGGGTTTAGCAGGTACTGTAATTTTATAATTAATTATACAATCCATGTAGCAAGTGAAAAGTTATACAGAGAGGGCCAAGGGTTATAAATAATAGTTTACACAGAGACTGTCAATTTACAAAACAGCACTGCGTGGTTTCTAAACCGCAAGCACAAGACGTTGTCACACAGGTCCACTGTACAGGTACAGACATGTCCATGACATACAGAGTACCACCTGAAACAGGCCCTTCTAGCCACTACTCCACTCCTCAGGATGTAGCAAGCGTTAAATGGATGAAATACATCTTGATTCAAAATGTCTTCTAAAAACCCTTGAGTGGGGGGGGGGAGGGGAATTAAGACTGGGCAAGGAGCCACTAGGAAACTTCTGAATTCATTTTTGGTGCTTTTTCAATTATTTTACAAAATAAAAATAAAACTAGAAAAATTGAGAAAAGGGCTGAAACCCCTCCATACGTATTAGGCAGGTAATCTGAAGTGTATGAGAGGTAAGAGAGTCTGGGTTCAGGGCTACATTCTTTTCCTGTATTTATGAGGCAGTAGCCACTCTGCTGCACAGAAACTTACAGTTATTCTCTTACAACATTTTTTATTTTGTTAAATAAAAGAGCGTTTGTCCCTACAGTTATAAAACATAAATTCATAACTTAAACAACTACACTGAAATTCCTTCTCAAACACAGGATTCAAATTTCAATTTAATGCTGAGTTGTACCCTTTCCGAGTTTAATCACATCGGTCTATTTGGTTTTGAAGAGGAACCAAAATTGTTAATGCGTTATCCCCTCCACAGCCAGTGCTGCAC